AGCAAGCAAATGACGAAGCTAGGATGCACGTTCGGGTCTACCTGACTCCGGAATCTATCTACGCTCCATCCCTCATCCTCTCCTTTCCTTCGGATCCTGACCTCCATGATTTGCAGCAACTCGGGAGCCCTTCAAATGACATCTACTGCTCAGACCCCAACGTCTGAGGATGCCTTTTCCCAACATTCCACAACCCGTGCTCCTTTGCTTGCTATACAAGACAGCTGTCTACCACCCTGAGAGCCCTCAAGCCCTGGATGCCTTTTCCACTGAGCCCTTCTGGTTACCTTGGCTCCCCCTACCCGACCTGCCTCAAGAGTCAGCCATGCGGCAATGTTTTCAGCTTAGACTCTGCTCCCTGAGTTTCCACCATTCCTGCCCTTTCATCCCTCAGCGAAACCCATCATCATCTTTGCCCGGTCTTGGGACACAGAGAAGGTTCCCTGCGGTGGGTCTCCGGATTTCCCCATCACTCACTCACCCTTTTGTGTCTCGTGGGAGAGCGTCACGTGTGCCACCGTGCTCCGTGTTTCCTCCTGTCCCTGTCACCTATGACTCATCACACACATCAAGTCCCAGCTCTGTCACCCTTCAGGTTTCAGCTCAAACGTCACTTTCTCCAGGGTCTCAGACACAGTCGCTTGTCAGTCTGTGGGCGTCCACTATTCCCAGGACTTGTGCACCCCTACCGCCAACCAAACTTCTCATGTGGATCAGCCTCCCTGAATCGTACCGTCATCCGAAGAGAACCTTCCATCAACCTTGCTGCCCGTAGCAGGATATCCCTGCTCTTGCTTTTCCTTCATCGAAGTCTACACTCTGCCTCCCACGCTTTGTCACGAGCCAGTCACTCTTCAACCCTTCCTCCTGGGTTCAGCACCCAGCACCCTTCCAGTCCTTGGCCTCCTGGACCTCCCTCTCTGCCATCTGATCCTGCGGATAAGCCCATCCTTTTAAGCTTTTGAGCACCTTGTTACTTTGTTTTGTTAAATAAGATCCCTTCTTGGGAGCTCCTCTCGGCCCTCTCTTTTCCATCTGTCTCTTCCTCGTGCCCTGAGCCCTTCGGTGTAGACTCTCCTTTCTGTTGATTCTTGCTTCTCCTTCGCCCACCTCACCCACACCAGGGTTCCCCCCAGCTGCTCTGTGTGGAAGTGGCCCAGACAAGGCCACCACACACGGCTGCACAAGCTGTCCAGTGCCCAAGGACACCCAACCGAGGCGACAAAGTGGAGGCTGCCTTTCTTCCGTTGACACAAGGGCACGAGGGACCAGCTCTGGCTAGACGTCTGTCTCTCCTGTCTCCGTGCTTTCCCCGCTGTGGGGGACAGCTTCTCCAGGGCATTGCTGGCAGGTCTGCAGAGGGAGAGAGATGTGGTCTCGTGCCTCGGTGATTTTGAGACAAATCCTTGGCCACTCTACTCATCCGTGTCGCCCTTTTCCCCATAGACGCGGACTTGGCCAGAACCCAGTCCTGCCCAGGGTGAAAGCAACGTCATCATGATCATCAAGAAGCCAAAGGCTACAGAGTTATGAGAGCACTGGGAATGGCAGTGGGGGGTGGAGATGAGACTAGGGAGGACATTGGGCAGCTTCTCAGTTGTCACGGCTCCTTCGGCAGATTATCTCATCGAGTCCCCAGGCAAACGCTTCAAGGAGACACTCCTGTTCTCCTTATCCTTTAGCTATGAGAGCACGTTTAGTGAAGGTTACCAAGGTCCTACTGCCAATGGTGGGGACTGGAAACCAGGTCTCCGGACATCTACTGGCTTATCCCTGTGTCCCAACAACGGGAGAGAAGGTTCTAGGGAGTCGGGAGGCATTGGGGTTGTACCTAAGGAGAGATCCGGAGCTCTAGGGTCCGAAGAGGAAGAGGCCATAAGAACAAATAAGGTCATCCTTGTGGCTGAGAACGGACTTTGCCAAACAGCCTGGAGTGGGGACTAGGGAGGAAGAATGTGCCTGGATAGACCAAGTGGCCTGGAATCCTCTGAGCCTCAGCACCTAGACATTCCGGGGCAGTTACATGCATCTCAGCCCAGACCCTCCCCTGTCCTTTATCTATGGGAACCAAATGCTGTGTACAAACCCAAGTGAAGCAACAGAGAGCATTCCCTGGAGGGAAGGTTAGGCCCAGGCCTCAGAATTCCTCCCCTCTTCCACCCTGGACAGGCAGGGAGCCCTGGGGCAGGGAGCCCACCCTGGGGCTCCTGGTGGGGCAGGGACACCTCTAGAAAGATTCCCAAATGCTTGAGGTTTATTTAGTCTGGGCCCTACATCCAACCTAGCTGCTGCCCGCTACCTTCCATCTGCCTCTGTGGGACCTGGGAGTCTCACAGGCCACCTTGTTGGCTCTGGTTCCTTCCATCATGTGGACCTCTCACTTTCTCCCACAGATACTCAAACCTTGGAGAAGCCCTTTCTGAGGTCCATCAATGCCAGTCCTTCCAGACGGTGGCAAGGATCAGCCCTTTCCAATATTGGCTATAGACCTTCCACCCTCACCCACTGGAGGCTGTTCTAAAGACCTCCCAGGCGAGGCTGGATAAGAAACTTCCAGTCTGGACAGGAAAGCTGAGCCTGAAGGAACTGTAGGTGCTCTGGTCATGCTCCCTAGTCGCCTACTGTCTTCACCATCTCCTTTCCGCTGAACCACAGGCTCTAGCGTGTCCTTTGCATAAAATAAATCTGCTAGCTTAAATAAAAAAAGAGAGAGAGAGAGAGAATGTTGGCAGGAGGGGCACAAGAGCTGGGGGGAAAAGAGAATGAACCCATGCTTATCAGGGGTCATCTCTGAGTTTACTGGGCGTTAAACCTGCCTGTCTGGTTCCTGCTCCCTATCAGCTGGACACCGGAATGCAAGAGTCACTGTCTTTACTCAGTGCTCCGGGGGTTCTGGGGCCTCTTGCCAGGGGCCTTCCTGCTTCCCCTTCTCCCGGGACCAGTCACCCCTTCCTACATTAGCGCTCCACTGCTGGGTGTCTGGGGGCACTAAAATCCTCCTTCATCCCTCCTCCTCCCCCAGCTCTCCCAGAGGCTGTCCGTGAAAAGGCCCTGAATCCCAGAGCAATCTGGACTCGGTGGGAAAGAGCAGAGGAGCAGCAGGGGGGTTGAGGTGGGAACCCAGGTCAGTATTTGCCCAGTGCTGCAACAGGTCAAGAATGTGGTCATCAGAGATAAGGCACAGCTGGCAGCTCTCCAGTCCCTGCGCCCAGGCTGAGCCTGCACAGGCCGCAGAAGGCGGCGGGCAGAGATCAGAGGAGGCTCCTGCGGATGAATCCTGGGGTCTGGATCTGATCCTGGTGGAATTCCAAGTCCATCCAAAGGGATGAAGTGGATTAGCAAGAGAGAACAAATATCTTTACAACTGGCACCCACCTTCCTCCCCATCGCTTGATTCTGCAGAACCAGTAAGAACATTCATTCAACACTTGAGTAAGGGACAATTAACACTTGTGCCCCTCCCCCCCACCTCATGCCAGTTTTGGCAGCACAGCTATTCAATTCAGAACGATTGCCCCTGACCCTGCACAAGGCTGGCACACCATGACCACCCAAGGAGTTAGGCCAGGCGATAGCATGCGCCTTTTAAAAGAGATGAACCTAACACTCAGACGTTAAGTGGCTTGTCCATGGTTACACAGCTAGCCCCCATGCAAGTTCACTGACTTCAAGCTTAACCAAAACAGCAAACCTCAGTCCACTGCATGTGCCCAAGGAGCTAAAGAACAAGCTCTCGAACAGATAGGGTTCGGAAATGCTCAGTGGAGCACGATTCTTCACAACACCCAACAGGGGCACCAACCCAGACGCCCAACATGTGAACGACTCGCATCTAACGGAGTGGAACTAGGCACACACGCACAACAGAATGTCACTCAGCTACAAAGAGCAATGTTCTTTACAGAGCAAAATGAGGCCGTCTGCTTTGGCCAGGCTTCTGTGAGGGGAGCCCATGGAGCAGTTCGACTCTGTCCTCCAGGGCTGCTGGCAGCCAAACCGCCTCATCGGCGGTGGGTTTCGAAAGAGAAAGGAAGTTCTGATCCCTGCTACGACAGGGGACAGGGGTGAAGCGTGAGGACACTCTGCTTGCGGCAAGCCAGACACAGCAGGACAAACCTGGCAGGGTCCCCTTTGTGAATTAGCTGGAGGCGGAGGGGGGTGGGGACACAGAGACAAAAGTAGATCAGTGGGTACCTGGGGCTCGGGGAGAGCAGGAATGGGCAGTTCTTGGGCACTGAGTTTCTGTGTGTGTGGTGGGGGGGGGTGCTGATGAAAAAGCTTTGGGGGAAAAAAAAGCTTTGGATAGATATAGGAATGATAGTCGTGCAACATTATGAATGTAATCCGTGGCACTGAATTGTATCGTTGAAAATGGCAAATGTCATGCTATGTTTATTCTTTTACCATACATGGTTTTTAATCTTAAAAAAAATAAAGTCAGCACCGTACATGTTTAAGGCCCAGACCTGACTGTGCTGTTCTGTACAGGGGGCGGTTTGGGAGTGGGGAGAGGGGAGGGACGTGACAGCGAGAGGAGGGGAAATCCCTGGACTGGCTGGCACCTCCAGCCTTCCATGAAAAACGGGTGGGCATCATTTGCATGCTGTTTTACATCCCATTTGCCTTCTGGCCTGCAGCAGGCCCTGACCACTCCCTGATCAGTTCTCTCACCCTCGCCTGCTCCTGCCCAGCTCTCCCTGTGCACTACGGGGCATCCTTGGGGAGATGAGGGGTCCCGGACAGCCTAGGGCTAAGCCTCACACCCAGGCTGGGGTTCATACCCAGAGGACCCAGTGGCCAGGCTCTTCCAGGGCCCTTTCCCCTCCCAGGCCCGCCCTGCAGCCTGCTCTCACCTCCTCAGTCCAGCATGAGGGGAATCAATATAACCGATGCAGAGCAAAGAGCACAGTGCGGGCTGTGCCCTGCTGGACAAACCACTGATGGCAGGGCCAAGGTGAGAGCCCCAGATCCGTTTCCCCACAGGAATTCAGCATGGAGCGGCCATAGGGCTTTGGGGAACCGGACGGGAAGCAGGGAGCAGTAAGGGCTTCTCTACCTCCATCCTTCAGCTCTATCTTAGGTGAGCTTCCTAGGGGAGGTTTGGGAACGAGCCTCCTGAGGGGAGGCAGGGAGAGAAGGGGTCTGGAGGAAACCCCAGTCAGCAGGGGAGCAAGACTGGCCACCGTGGCTGAGCCTCAAATGGAGCTTTCCTAGGTGCCCTGGAAGGAGGCCTGGTGGCGGAGTGCTAAGGCACTCGGCTGCTAACCACAGGGTCAGCAGTTTGAAACCACCCCAGGTCCAAGGGCGAAAGTTGGGGGGCGCAGGGCGCGGGGTGCTGAGTGAAAACAGCAGATTGGAGGCTCAAAACTATTTCTCTTCTTCCTCCCAGCCTCCCCGGGCCTGCCTTTGCAGTGGGGAACCTTGGGCTGCAGACAGAGACTGTCACAGACCCCACACCCCTCTCACCGCCCCCTCAGAGTCCCCAAATCCACAACCTGTCAGCAACCCCACTAAGGGGGCAGGAGGCAGGTATAAAAACGTCATTTCCTGCCTGGACTACAGCCCACCGCACCTGTTACCCTAGCTTATAGGTGGGGGGGTGGGGGGTCGGTCTTGTCCGGGCTGCTCTGGAGGGAAGTGGTGGGCGGGTGAGATCCTTGGGAGCGGCGGGCGGCGGCGGCCCCCGGAGGAAGGCCGGCGGGCGGGAACCACCTGTAGCCCAAGCCTCGGAGGCAGGTCTGGTGGCGGGGCGGGGCGGGGCCGGGCCCCGCGGGTTCCCACCCCCTCCCTGGGGGATAAAACCGGCCGCCACTCGTGTGTCCCAGACTGTCCCTGCCTCTCGCCGGACTCCTCCGCCAGCATGAGCTTCACCGCCTACTCCACCAACTACCGCTCGGTGGGCTCCGTCCGGGCGCCCAGCCACCGGGTGCGGCCGGCCAGCAGCGCAGCCAGCGTCTACGCGGGCGCGGGCGGCTCGGTGGGCCGGATCTCCGTGTCCCGCACCAGCAGCTTCCGGGGCGGCTGGGGAGGGGGCATGGCTGGGGGCATGGCTGGGGGCATGGCGGGCTTGGAGGGCATCCGTAGCGAGAAGGAGACCATGCAAGACCTGAACGACCGCCTGGCTTCCTACCTGGAGAGAGTGCGCAGCCTGGAGACTGAAAATCGGAGGCTGGAGGACAAGATCCGGGAGCACATGGACAAGACTGCACCCCGGGTCAGGGACTGGAGCCATTACCTCAAGACCATCGAGGAGCTGAGGGCGCAGGTGAGGGCCCCGGAGGGAGGGTCCCCACCTCCAGGCTGCCGGACACTCCCCTACACCTATAGGAATGTCCGTAGGGCCAGGCGCCTGACACCTCGCCCCCTGTCCCTCCCCACGCCACCCCACCCCTGCTCCATCACGAGGTGCCTAGGAACGTTCTGGATTGTCGTACATAGCCCTGGTTAAGAGGACCCCGAGGTTGGCGGCTGAGTGTGGTAGGGTCCTTCCCCAAGGGATAGCGGGACGCGGGGGGCAAAGCTTGACTGGGACAACATGGAGGAGAGCGGCAACATGGAGCAAGTTGGCGAATCAAGGCCTTCGAGCGGATTCGTGGCTGAGTGAGGACAGTGGGAGGGTTAAGCGGATGTGGCTAAAGCTGAGTCATCCGGAGCAAACAGAAGGCCTACCTGTGGGAGGGGCCAGTGATGGGGGTGGGGGGCCCAGAGCCGGAGGGCTGACCAGTCGCGCTAGGAAAAAAAATAAAAAACACCAGGAGAGGGCCTGAGAGAAAGGGCTTTCTCCTGGCTGCTCACTCCCTCCCGGAACAGAGCAGAGCGATAGGAGGCGGCTCTGGCCGCATAGGGAGAGGTGGGAACAGGTAGGTGCATCCGGAGGGAAAACCTGCCGCTGTTCCTGGGCCCTGGTGGCTGTTACTGACACACATCACACTTTCTGCACACACACACACACACACACACACACACACACACACACACACACACACACACACACACACACACACAGCCCAACCACTGACTTCTCAGTCGTGAGACACCCCTTACCACCACCTCCAGATCTTTGCCAATTCTGTGGACAATGCCCGCATCGTTCTGCAGATTGACAATGCCCGGCTGGCCGCTGATGACTTCAGAGTCAAGTAAGATCGGGTGACTGGGGAGTGAAAGGGGGTGGGGGGTAGCGAGGGGCGCAGGGTGACTGAGAGTAGGCTGGTCAGGGAGGGGCAGAGGGTGTGGCGCTGGATCAATGAGAATGTATCCATTCATTTAACTGCTCATTCCTCCCACCACCCCACTCCTTGCAACACTGCTCTCTGAAGTGCCTAAGGCGGTGCCTGGGGATTGCCACCTGATTCAGGTGGCTGGTTTGCAGTGGGCATGGGGCTGCTCTTCGGAGGTTCCGGATCAAGGATGTGGGGGGGGGGACCCTTCTGACCCCCTCCCCCGCACCCACAGGTATGAGACGGAGCTGGCCATGCGCCAGTCAGTGGAGAACGACATTCACGGGCTCCGCAAGGTCATCGATGACACCAACGTCACTCGGCTGCAGCTGGAAACGGAGATCGAGGCCCTCAAGGAGGAGCTGCTCTTCATGAAGAAGAACCACGAGGAGGCAAGAAGAGCCCCTGGAGACCCGAGGGCCAGCGGGGTGGGGTGGGTGGCGAAACAGGCGGGCCCTCCGTCAAGCTGGCCCCATGCCTAGTGGGTCCCCTTACTCAGTGGGATGCGGTAGGGGGGGGATGAGGGTGAGCGAGGATGGGATGAGAACGGAAGTAGCCGTCACTGGCCCTGGAGGTTGGAAGTGACGGAGGAGTGTGGTTCAGATGGACCTGGCAAGGCCTCCCTAGGCAAAGGTATCCGGAGCAGGTTCATGCCAGGAGGGGAGATGGAGGAGCTCACCATCCATGTGAGGATTGTGAATGGCAGGCAGGTGTATGTGGGCAGGCCCGTCTGGAGTAGAAAGCCAGTGTTAACATTGCCCGGAGGGTAAAACCAGGCGGGTTCTCGGGTGGCTTCGAGACCTCATCCTGCAGGCCGCGTGGAGGAGGCCATCTCAGAGAAAGAGTCTCAGCGGAGGGAGCTCCGATCGTCAGCCCTTCCTCCCACGCGTACCTCTCTCCTCTAGGAAGTAAGGGGCCTGCAGGCCCAGATTGCCAACTCCGGACTGACTGTGGAGGTGGATGCCCCCAAGTCGCAGGACCTCGGCAAGATCATGGCAGACATCCGGGCCCAGTATGAAGAGCTGGCCCAGAAGAACCGAGAGGAGCTGGACAAGTACTGGTCCCAGCAGGTACTTGAGGGGAAGGGGCATATGCCAGGTTGGACATAGAGGCCTGGGGGCATGGAGGGAGGCGGGCAGGGAGACCCGAGCCTGATGGACCATTCCCCGCCTCCAGATAGAGGAGAGCACCACCATGGTCACCACTCAGTCTGCTGAGATCCGGGGTGCTGAGACGACGCTCCAGGAGCTGAGCCGTACAGTCCAGTCCCTGGAGATTGAACTGGACTCCATGAGAAATATGGTGAGAGAGGCGTGTCTTCCCCCAGCCTGAACCCCCCAACTTCTATTGGCTTTGGGCTTAACCCTCTTCTCCCCAAATCATCTTCCTCCCATCGTGATCAGAACCAGTCAGCGGTCCTTTTTCATTTCCTATAGCTCCCCACTCTGAGCTGGCACCCTTGGAGAGGGTGCTTCAAACGATGCAGCACTAACAGCGGCAGGGGCTCCCCCTCTGCTTCGAGCTCCGAGCTCACCCGGACCCCCTCCCCCCATCTGTGTGCCCTCACAGAAGACCAGCTTGGAGGACAACCTGCGGGAGGTGGAGGCCCGTTACGCCATGCAGATGGAGCAGCTCAACGGGGTCCTGATGCACCTGCAGGCAGAGCTGGCACAGACCCGGGCAGAGGGACAGCGCCAGGCCCAGGAGTACGAGGCCCTGCTGAACATCAAGGTCAAACTGGAGGCTGAGATCACCACCTACCGCCGGCTGCTGGAAGATGGGGAGGACTTCAAGTGAGTGGAGCCTCCCTCCTATCCCCTACACACACACACACACACACACACACACACACACACCCCACACACACAAACCAGGTCAAGATAGCACTTCTCCCCCACAAAACTTGAGTCTTTAGAAGTCCCTTCATGAGCCTCTCCACGGTTATCTACTGAGCATCAGGCCAATGCTTTCTGCGCCTCCCCGTGTCCTCAGGAGAAAACAGGGTGCTGAGTTTGCCCCTGTCGGCATTGAGGGTCTCCTGGGGTTGGGCCTCGGGTTTTCCCTTCGCAGGAAGTAGCTAAGGGACATGTAGACATAAAAGTCAGGGCCTGGCTCTTCCTTCTCCTCTGTGGCGGTTGTTTGTAACTGGGATCGGTTTCCGGCTACAGTCTGGTCGATGCCCTGGACAGCAGCAACTCCATGCAGACCATCCACAAGACCAGCACCCGCAAGATCGTGGACGGCAAAGTGGTGTCTGAGTTCAACGACACCAAAATTCTGAGACGCTGAGGCTGCAGACCCCGGGGTACCCCGAGGAAACAGAGGTCAATAAAAACCTGAGGTCACCGGTCACCATGCTGCGTCTTGCTTGACTGTTTTTGAATGTATGTGCAAATACTCTGACCCAGTCGTTCTTTCTGTGAACTGGCAGGATTTGACTGTCACCTCTGACCCCAGGGGCTCCCTGGGAGTGGGGGAGTGGGCAGAGGCGGTTCTTGGAAGCCCCTTCTCTGAGAAAGAGGAAGAAAAGGTGGAGGGGATGGATGAGGGCAATGGGGAAAAGCCAGACTAGCTTGTGAAGCGGCCTTGGAGGAGACCTGGCGATAGGAAGGCCACCCTCCCACCTATTCTGGAGCCCTCTGTGTCCCTGCCTGCCAGGTGCTCATTAGCAGAAATCCGAGTCCCAGAAGGAAGTGTGCCCAAGGACAGAGGCCACGAGTGAGAGGCAGGGGCAGGAACAGGAGCACACGGCGGGTTCTCCCCCTCCCTGCCACACTGCACTCTTGACCCACCGCCCAGCACTTCCCACCCACCAGGCTCTTCTCAACCAGCCTGCTTCTGTACCCATTCCCCAAACCTGTGGTCTCCATGCCCTGCTCATTGGCCCAATTGGAATGTGAACTTTAGAAATGACTGGAGGGCCGGATGGGGTGAAGGTCAAGGTAGTTATTCAAGTTGAAGGGACGGTCTACACCAGTGGTGCCCAACCAGGTCGCTGGGATGAATGGCCATCCTGAAGCCAACTGGCAAGTCACAGTTCCGCGCTTTCAGCCGGCTTGTGCCTTCTTATAAAAACAGCGGGTGTCTAAAAGTAACCCTAGGTTTTTATATGGATGATATTTCATCTTCTTAACATTAAATAAAAAGTGCATCTCTTAAACAAGGAAGGATAGGAAGCCAAACAGTCAATATTTACCCAAAAGCACAGGTGAGAGTGGGAGGAGGGGCCGGGATGCTGGATCCGTGGACAGGATGCTGACACAACATAAATGGCCCAGAGCCATTTAAAAATTGTGATGGTGGTGGCCCTGGAGGAATGAGAATGTATCCATTCAGAATTGTTCAGTGGGATGCAAGAATACTTTGTTCTATTAAACTGACATTCCATGATGCTCACCTTCCTGACACAATCGCTGAAG